CCTTTAAAAACACCAGGTAATCAGTCCAAACAATAACAGGGGCACAGGCAAAAAGGTAGACCCGGGGAACAGGCAAAGAATCAAGAGAACCAGGACAGAGGATGCAAACACGCTTGGAATTGCAGTAGAAACACTAAACAAGACTTTGCAGGGAACAAATGTTAAAACCTGGCTTACGGTGAGCTAAATGACATATACAAGTGAATGTGATCATGGCTGATGTTGGGTTGGGTTGGTTATCCCGGGCACTCTCACTGGTGATCTTTCCACAAGCACAGCCAATTAACAAAACAAAAAAAAGTGACCTAACGCATTTACTTTTTTTAACGCATTACTTTTAAAAGTAACTTTCCCCCAACACTGGTGACAGTGAGGGAGTTTTGAGTTTTCAAAGTTACACTATGTTTTCATGGTACATTAAAATTAAGGAAGATTTGATTTCTCATAATATGACCCATTTAAATCTCTCTGCTGCTGACAAGCTCTAAAACAGATAATCACTACATCTACAGAACAAGAACAGAACGTGAACAAGAACAGAACGAGTCCGGTCAGTTTCTGTGTACGCAGGTCATTTCACAATCTCTGAAAACTTTCCACTGAAGTTTTAGTTGGCCCAGTGTTATTTGTTCATGAGTAGTTAATTTTTAATTAAATATAACTGGATATAATGAGGGTTGTTCATTTCATGGACAAAAAAAAAAAGTTGATTGTTTGACATTCATGAATTAGAAATGGGTATGGATTATTTATAGTACACACACACACACACACACCACTGCAGATGCAACACACCCTGCTGATTGTTGCAACTGCTAAAACTCAGTAACACGAGTGTTGCCACAACGTGTTCATGTTGTGGGTGCGTGGTGGGCAGGAATAGAATCGAGAACACTCTAGACTTGCCTGGCCAAACTAAACGGAAAAATGACGGGATGTTCAGGAAGGTCACGTCAGCATGATGACTGGCATCCCAGAAGGTTTTAGGACACCTCTTATACTCTGCCATCAGAAAATATCAGAGAAGTGTTAGCTCTTATACTTTCATGCTATTTCACAATATTTACAAAAGTTATTCACCTACTTTTCAGTTCCCATCTCATTTCAGTGTTGAAATACCATTGCAGCCCTATTTTACAAGGCAGTGTCACAACAGAAAGCACTGTTTGGTTGCCTGTCTGCCTTTGGAACATGCATCAAGCACAATTAAGAGACATATTTGTTCAAACAACAGGTGAGTATTGTGCCATTTATTTTACTTTGCTAAGTAAAATAAGTTCATTGCAAAAGATAGTTAAGTAGGTTTAGTACATTTTAACATGTTTCTGCTGAGTTTAGCCTAATATGAGTAGCAAAAATAGGCTCCCAAAAGTTCACACCCACAAATGAAAGTTGTTCCAAAACTGTATACATTTCTTTGTTCTGCTGAACACACAGGAAGATAGAAGAAAGTTTGTAACGCTATTGACTTCCACAGACAAAAAAAAAAAAAAAAAAAATACTATGGAAGTCAATGGTGCCCCGGAACTGTTCAGTTTCCCACATTCTTCAAAATATCTTTCTTTGTGTTCAACAGAACTAACTAATCATTTTATACAGGTTTGGAACAACCTGAGGGTGAGTAAATGATGACAGATTTTTCATTTTTGGGCGAGCTATCCCTTAATTAAGATAGCTTGTTTAAAAGGCAAACATTGTGATATTTTGCCCATACGTGAGACTAGCGTTCATGAAGGCAACAACAAGGGTGGTAAGCAAACATGCATAAAATAATAGAGGACAGACGGAATATCCTGTTATTAGAATAAACACTTACGTATAGCAATAAACAGAAATAATTTAAATAATACTGTAATAATAAACAGAACGATATGTGGGAATTCTCAACGTGCTAACTGGAAACCCAGTTCCTGATTTACTGGTTCGAAACACTCTGTGAATAGCGAATAAAAGTTTAAACTCTTCCAAGAACGTATCTGTACAGAAACGTGCCTGTTCTCATGTGTTCACCTTTGTACAGAGAAACCTGATTCGTGAACTAGGAGTGCTCGTGAGGCTCTCTGGGAGATTCCGCAGTCCGTAAAGACATGAACAGACTGTAGCTACTGTTTTTAGCTCTCGTCTCTGTTTAGAAACAACTGTGGGATAAGAGAGAAAAGTCTACTGCCCTAAAAGATTATTATAGGTGAACGGCATTATGGGAACATTAAAACACTGACCCAAATAGGAACATTCATTAACTTTCAAGTTAAGAAAATTATTTCTAGATGTTCCCACTTCTCAGATGCTATCAAAACATAGAGGAGTTTAATGTTCTAGGTCTTTTTTTATTGGTTACACGAACGTTAGAGCTACATTGTGTAACTCTTTTAGTTTATTTTTAGCTAAAAACAAGTTCTTTCAAAAATATATGTGCTCATTAATATTTACCTCGTTCAAGTAATAAAGTATTCTCGTGAGTGTATAATATGCCATTGAAAATACATACGGGTGAGGGGTTCTAATGTCGGTCGCCATGTTGCCACTCCATCTTGAAAGTACATTAGCCAAAGAGGGACATACCCGTTAATTCAAGCTTCGCGTTTACGTTTGAGTTAACCATAGACAAAGAGAAATGGACACAGCGACCCCATTGATTTCAACCAGACAGTAAAAGAATTGACGCAAGGTCAAACTGGAAGCATGTTAATCTTGGACTACATTGGCCACCAGGAACAGAAACTAATATTCACTGGGTGGTCATATACCTTTTCACCGCTAGATGGGGGTAAAAATCACACAGTGTAGCTTTAAGGGATCATCCCATTTTATAATTTTGCAAACACTCTAAACAAGTAATGAACATCCAACTATAACTTTTCAGAAAAATGTTTCATTAACAATAGTCTATAGGTCTAAATAATGTTTTTTGTGCTAACGTTTTGAGAAAAGACCAGATAACTTTAAAGAAATTTAAAATTTACTGGAATAATGTTTTTTCATAACTTTAAAATCCAGAATATTTGACAAAGTGGGACTTTAGCTGGCCTACTGCGCTGTTAATATTTTATTGTTGGTTCAACTTAAAAAGTTACCTGGTTGCATTAAAATTTTGAGTTCACTGAAATTTAAAATTTGATAAACATTGAAGGATATTGGTTTAATCAACAGAAACTCAAAACATTACGTTATGTGCACCACACAATTAATCAAGTTGTTTTGACAAAAGAAAAAGTCTTCAGAAGTCAGTCTTCAGAAGTAGCCTAACACAGAGGGTTTACCATACAGTACATAGTATGTATAGTGAAATAATTTGTTGCTGCATTAAATTAAGTAGGCCTATAATCCAAATTGGCTGTTTTGGTCATTTCAACTGTTAAATCTTGAGGAGGCCTAATGATAAATTGCTTTGTCTTGTGAAAGTAAAAACTGATACATTTATGTTAATATAAACATATTTTGCCATGAGTTATTAATCACATTGCACTGGGGAGTGAAGAAAACTTCTCAGATGACTGTTCTTTGGAGGAAGTGCTTTAATTTAATTGATGGCTTTAATTGATTTATACTTGTGCCTATGCCCTTTATTTCTGACAGGAGTCCACATGTACAGAAAGGCCTACAGAAGAGTCTGCACACAGCAGTGATACAGGGGTGGGCAGTGTAGAGACAACTTTTCCTTTTTATTTGTTGCATGAGGCGTGTGTGACACAAACGACACAGAACAGAATATAGAGTATTTAGAAAAAAACAAAAATCAGGGGGAGACATAGAACTTGACTAAGAAAAAAAATGCAAAGGATTCATTTGCACGCCGAAAAAAACGTCAAAATGTCACGTTTTAATGAAGCAGCCAAATGAGTAAAACGTCTATTTTTCCGGCGTCCCCCAGCTCCTCGTTTAAGCAAAAGGTACGCTAAAACAACGCATTACATCGACGTTAAACCACGTTAACCGTGTTAACCATAACCTTTTAAATACTCGACCTACCTGAAACTCCTGTAACTTCAGTGCTGTTAGCACCTTAGTGCTTACAGATTAGGCGACATTAGTGTGTTCGCTGCATTTAGAATAGGTTATATCCGGGTATCTCTCCACTGGAATGTGTTAACGCAAACGTGTAAGTTTCACGTTTGAAGGGGTTAAACCGTGACATCTACACGTTTTCCAAAGTGGACCAACGTGATTATTTCACGTCTTGTCGTGATACCGGGTTGCCCTGCACCCTGGCAGAAGAGCTGACCCTTGGGTTGAATGTGAATTGACCTGTTGTGAAGGGCATCACTGGGTTCAGCTCTTCCAGACCCACATCAGGGACCAGTAGCAGCAACACCTTCATTACTGGGAAATGAGATTTAAATGGTCTTTGTACACTACATACAGCTGGTAAATAATGTTATAATTTTAAACTGATTCTTGAGAGAATTGTTTAAATAATATGAAGGTCATGGTTACTAAAAACAAAAAACAAATTTTTATTTTGGACCAGTACTCTGCGTTTAAATCTATCCACATTATTAGCAACAGATAGGGGGGAATTAACATCAGAGGTGTGCAAAAATACCCTTTTTATTTGCCATTAACACTTTTGCGTTGCACAGATGGCCATGTTGCAGCTATTATTTTATTTAGCTGGTTTCTAAAAGTTAATTCTGCCAGATGGAAGAACAGGCTTCCGTTTATTCTTGCCACATATACAATAGATGGATCCAATGACAGCAGGTGTAATGTTATATAAACTGTATTAGTGTCCAGTCTCAGTACACGTGTTTTAAAATCACAACAAAGCCCACTTAATTCCAAACACCTTGCACACAGGCTGTTGATTAGCTGCTCATTCACTGTAGAATAGCAGAGTCAGTGAAAAGAGACTGTTTGGTCATAATCCCTGTATGAAAGTACATTGATAGGCCTAATAGTGATTCACAATAATCCATGCTCATGGAACTGGATATGATCATTTTAATATACTATGGAATGACAGAATGCAGGAGGAATAGAAACACATACCCACACCATACTTTGGGCTGCTCTTAGTCATTTATTTATAGCAAATACAATATATTTGCAATGATTTGGTCATAGATAAAAAAAACAAACACTATAAAACATGACATAAAAAACAGCCAGTTTTTACTAAAAAAAAAAAAAAGAAAAGAAAAATGGAGCCTCCGTCGCCTGCTTCTACGTGCGGTGACTCCTGGATGAGGGTGAAGGGTGTGGAATTGGGTCGGGTGGTTTATGAGGGGAGGGGGGATCCAGGCTCCTTCCCGGAGTCACTGCTCTCACTCATATGTCTCTTCATCACAATCTCCTGAGCAACGCAGGTCACCTGACCGTTTGTGACAGTGTAGGTGCCAGTCCTGCCAATCAAAATGAAGAAAACCTTGAATGAAAACCAGGACTCAGGAGCTGAGTCAAGCCAAACACATCAAACTGTCCTTAAACTCACTTCTGCTGAGATTCAAATCCATTGGGTGTCCCCATTTGATTCTGCTTCCCAAAGAAGAAACTGGACCACCAGTGGCCAGAGTCCTGTCGTACCAGACCTGCCGAGGAATTGGACATTGAGCTTTTCTATTCCTTTACAATAAAAGATGACTACATATACATCTAGTCCCAGACTAAAATGCATGTTTGAGCTGTTTTAACTGAGAGCAACTTGCACTGTTATACCTTAAAATATTTGACTGCCATTGTCTTGTCTCTCAAGATGTACACCACCAGTAATGTTTTTTTTCAAAGTCACGTTTAGAAAAGCCACTTAAATGCCCTAATTGAACTAAAACCTAATCCTGGCTTAATCTAAGCCCTGTCTGTGAAACCAGGCCTATTATGGACTGTATAATGACTGACTACATGTACATGTTTATGTGGATTTTAAGGTATTGAGATGATTTTCAGATGATATACCTGGTGGGTGTGGAATGACCTCCCCAGTGTACTCCGAACTGCCACAGGAACTGTTGCTAGATGTAGATCCAATGCGCCCTGCAACATGATTAACATTTTAAAAAAGGAATAAAAAAAGTGTAACTATGTAATGATTTTTTAATATAAATTATAACATTTAACACTTAATATGTGTGTGAAACTATTGAATTTATTTATTATAAACATGCATTAAATGTTCTTGATTACAATGTTAAAAAAAAACATGAACAAACTCACTTCGGTAGTAGTCATGGGTGGCGATAAGGGAACCGCTTGATGGAATTGATGCCATTTTCCCCGTCCTCTAGGTGTCAACTGAGTGGAAGTTGGAAAGATGGAAGACCTGTTGGAAAAAAAAATTACAGCTATGATGAGAACTAATGTGTCGGAGGACGACATCTGCATGGTACTCCAACAATGTGGTCTTTGAAATACGAGGGCTCAGGGCAGCTTGGAAAACATTTCAGGTTGGCATATGCTCAAACAATCTGTTATGGAACTCAGCACACTCAAAGATTTAAAGAGGTTTTAACCCTGTCAGGATCACACGCAAGGTATTGCCAACAATTTTCTTCCAATTGGTTAATGGTAAAGGTAAGACTACATTCAATGTAGACAATGTTAACATTTGAAATAAAAGAATCATCCACTGAAACTAAACATTCATCCACTGAACTAAACAACCCATCAGTGTGACTAGATGATACTTAACAGCTGTTACTTCAAGAATCAAATTTCCGTATTCAGAGACCCACTTGCTTAGAAGAACAGCCATGACTGTGCAACATGCATGCAGAATAGCTCATGTTTCATGAGACTTGGTTATTAAAGTACCCGGTTGTCCAAGGCTGCCTGTTAGCAGATGCGTTGACCATTTAAAAGAAAGGTAGACTAATAAAAAAGAAAGGACTTCAGGACGTTTTCAGGCTACTAAAAAAATAGCCTATTGCATACAAAACAAGAGCATTTCAATTTCGGGCTTACCAATGTTTTAAGGTTACCAGTAGAGTAATAATAAATAGGCTAATAAAAGCTACAATATGGAATGAACATTAAAGGCACGGTGACTGAGTGATGCACAATAATGTAGTGTTTGTGTTGCTTTAGTTTCAGATTAAGGACCTGCAGACGTCAATGTCAGGACACAGATGGGAACAGGGATTTACCACGTGACTGCTTAATACCCTTCTGTGCTACATATAACAAATAAGACGTTTGAGTGACACCAGGGCTTTGAAAAGCTGACATGTAGCCAACTAAATGCTAAAATTACTACGAATAAAAGACACTGTTCAAGAAAAGGAAGAGCAAAATACTAGGCTACGTTACAGAAGGCCTACCAGTCAGTTAACGTACAAGTTATAAGCGAATAATAAGCGTATAAGAAGTTATACAAGTTATAAGCGAAATGGTTTAAAATAAAATGACGTTCGCAGTTTATTTACTGGCATCACCTCAGAATTACTAGGATAGTTGAGTTGTAATTAAAAAGTAAACAATGCTTTGCCTGTCTGTCCAAATATTTAACCACTTAAACATGTTTATTTTTTCTCATTAACTATTTTTCTCATTCCCTTACCTTTGATTTTTGGTGAGTGCTGATGTTGGTAATGCACCAAAAGCAAGGCTTGGTCAAGTAAACGCTAGGCGACGGGGCCCATTGGTAGTTTGTTTTCTGGGTGAGACCCTCCAAGGTCTTTCGCTCCTCTACTGCAAATTCTACAACACGAAGGGCGCGCGCTCTATTTATTACCCGAGTGACGATAAAAATACTCCCAAAGGGCGTGGCTTACTCGCTGGCATGATAAAATAGGCGTGGCCTGGTCGCTGGCACTAGATTGACAGGTCAAAGCCTTTTACAGTCTATGGTCAAAACAATGTTGTTTCAGATGTTGGCAGTTAAGCGTCACCAAACAACTCAAGTCCACATTTTCCCATTCCATCAATGTCACGTGCATTCGAAGTTTGTTGCACAACAAGCTTTCTAAATAAAATCTGTGGCAAATCTCCTGAAATGATCTTATACTAACAGCAAGGTAACATATGCATATATACTGTATACATCCCATACTGTTAACAACATTCTCACGGTGAAATCTGTTTGTTGCAACTCTGAATAACAGACAGCGCAAATAGATATGGCAAAAGCAGGAAGAAAACACCTTTTTGTCGCCACCTCCTGTCTGTTATAATTATTGACCATGAAGCGAGACTGCATGAAAAATAAGGTTAATACTGAACAAGTTTGTCCAAGGCAAGCAGAGATCAAGACACAACATTCTTGTTAACTTCATTGTCTTTAATAAACCCTGAACAGTGTAGTATGTTACAGCCACAAAGCATCAAACATGATGTACCCAGTAGTTATGTCAGTATGGTAACATTATTTTACAGATCATCGCATGAACACAAAGAATCAAAAGAAAAATGATAAACTGACCAAAATATGAAGTAAAAATGGGTTTTCCATCACCACAGTGAAATTGACCTTTTGCCCAGCACAATATTTGAATTAAATATCATAACCATCACATTTAATCATCAATTACTTGAAAATAATATTTGCCTAGCATCTGTTCAGTAATTAAATAATTTATAAAAACCCATCTTCCCAATCTCAAATTCTTTTATGTTCATTGTTACAGTAATTTATGAAAAAGAAGGGGAAAAGGCTAATTCTATGCAAGACACCACAATCTAAAATACAGGCAATCAAGAAACAGGAGATACGTGTAGCTTGAATCTCGTTAATGTCTTTGTTAGAACAGTTGCAGTAAGCCTGTATTTTTTTTTTTTTTATCATGACTTTGGGGAAAAACTCAAAATGGACAAGAAAATAAATGTGAATCATTTAGAATACACCTTCAGAGATTATACACATCTGGTGCTCGAGTCTTGTCACAAGGAAAGCTTTAGCACCTTTTGCCCTGAGTAACAAGCTGGGTAATAACCAGTGCAATATTCAATGTAGAAAGCATGTAACAATCATAAATAGTGGCAACAAAGGAAGCCTTAAGCATTTCAGGACATTCTGAAGGTTAGTTGTGCAAACATTTAACCTCTTCATGCTGATCGTAACAGACCATTTACTACTGAAGTGTTAGAGAAGCCCTATTGTTTGACAAAATAATATATTACAATACATTTAAAGGTAATTCGGTACACAGGAGAAAAACCAAGTCCCAAAAATGGTTCTTCGGTTTGCCAATACGCTAATTTCAGATGTTTTGACTACATCCATTTGCAAGGATGGCAGTCTTCAGATGTTCAAGTAATTGCTTGTTGGCATATTAGTTTTAATAAAGCATAATTTTCTGTCTGTACATTCATTTGAAGTTAATGTAGCTGTGGAGACACTGGAGTGTATATTTGGGTATAGCGTTTAAGAGGGATCACAGATGTCAGTTCTCGGTCATGAGGTTGTGCTTCCGGCTCAGAAAGGTGCGTTGTTGCTGGTTGACGAATGGTCACCCTCTCCATTTGATCTTCCCATTGCTTTCTACTTTAGGAGGCATAACAGGAAAACACAATGGATTAAGTAATAACAGCATAAACAAAACATGAACATACACTACAGTCATTATCAGCAACAGAAACAAACCAAAACCAAGCTGTGCTATGTTAAGCAAGACCTAAAGTAGAAACCAAATAATGAATTAATTTAAAAACCTTTAATAGAGAAAAAAACTGAACAGCTCTAACCTTCACGTTATCCAATTTGTCCTCGAAGGATTTAAAGCTTGGTGAGTTCCTGAGGATATATTTTAAAAATATTATATAACCAATCAACACTAGGCTTGAGGGTTTTTTACATGCAACCTAAAATATGGAGGAAAGAAAATTGACAGACAGACACCTTTAAGGTTTACAAAGGAAAAAATAAAGGCTTTTTCTACAACATTTAGGTGAAGCAGGGCTGACAGGGCATAAACAAAGTGAAAAAGCATTTGCTTTCCACGCAAAAAATGAGAGCTGCATCTTAAATATGATTATGTGCAATGTTCTTAAACTGTTGTGGTCACAGTGTTGACCATCACTTCTACCTGTCTTTTTGCACCAGTAAATGTGAAGCTATGCACTATAAAGTGTTTATATATCGATTGCAAATGGTTGACTATTTCTTAAATTATAATATACAGTATCCAAGTATTACAATTATCCTCGTATCGAAAGACAAAACATTCAGACAGTTATTAATACACAGAAGGAAATGGGTAAGAAAAGTACTGGTAATTTACCTCATAGCTGGCATACTTAAAGAGTGACGCATGGAAAAGTTGCTACTGTGGAGAGCAGGTTGCAGACAGAGCGAGCAGGGAGAGTTAGCCGAGCAGACAGCGTTAGCCGAGCACAGAGCAGAGAGAAAGGGAGAGATTGCATAGCACAATGAAAAACCCGTTAAGACATCAGAACAAAGTTTAGATAATAATATTTTTTAACATCTCTATCGAAGCTCTAATATTTGAAGGTCATATGGAAAACGAAGACTTTAGGGACAGTTCTTAAGATTCAGATTCATCTATAGCTTCACAGGTACCATAGAATGCTCTAGAAATCTTCTTCAAAGATGGCTGCCACCTGTGCAGGCTCTCCTATAGCTCTTACCCAGAGTTAGAGTATGGCAGAGCCCTGAGCAGCCCGTATGCAGCGTTGTGGAGAAAAACACAGCAATAAACAAAAGAACCACTTCAAAAATCTATCAGAACATAATATTGATGATATTTAGGGCAGGAGAGAGTAAAAAAAAAGGGTAGAAACAATACAGGATGTAGATAGTTGATGTTAACATGACCATTGGGTCAGTATTTCTTAAAATTTAATCAACACTTATTCAGCAAGGATGCATTAAATTGATCAAGTGAGAGTAAAAACATTTGTCACAAAAGATTTCTACTTTAAATAAATTCTGTTCTTTTGAACTTTTAATTCACCAAAGAATAATGAAAAAAAATTGGTCAATTAAATGCAGCCTTGTTGAGCATAAGAGACATCTCAGAATTAAACAATCTTACCGGCCCAACATTATTTTAACGGTAGTGTACGCAACAGATTTTAGTCAGAGAAGCAAAAACAAGGATATACACAGGAAGCATAGTTACATGATTTAAGAAGCTATGCAAATATACAACAGCTTTATTTTTTGTCAACCCAGAGCATCTCATTTTGACAAGCTCTGTACCTTGACACAGTGTTCAAAACATCACAGAACTGTAGCCATCTGGAGATTTCTCAACATACAAATACCGTATTACTGAAGCTACAGAGTCAGTGGCTGTTGGCTAGAAGTCTGAAATCTGCTATAAAGACAAAATGTATTCAACTAATATCTGTTTCAAGTCTGAATTAGTATCACAGGCCACTTTAAATGTAACAAATGTAACAAGAAAGGAGCCCATTTTGACTTTTTTATAGTCTTATTGTGCACGATTCATCAGTGAAATATTTTTTCAGCTACTTGTCATACAGTGAGCCCATTTCACAGTTTATAATTCTGACCAAATTAAGCCTTACCCTACATTTCTTCTTTCTGAAAATCCTATTCACTCAAATGTCATAGTATGGCAGAATAGCATCCAAACTTAAACTTAGAGGTGATATATTTCAAAGTTTCTCCCCCTTGTATTATTGATCTTTCATCGGAGAAAGTAAAAAGGACATTTGTCCAGACTTTAAAAGAGGATTTTGATTAATACCTCTTTGAAAGATGAAGGCACAAGACCAGCTTCAATCATAGATATGAAAAACAACCATCATACGAGATATCAAAGGAGGAGAATGAAAAGAAAGATTGGAAGACTAAGATTAGTTGTAAAAACTAGTGTTGAGAGAAGGACTAAAGAGTTCACCTCATCTCTCCAAATCGGTTTCTGATGGCGGATCCCATTGTGGAGAATGCAGCTGATGTCATTTGACCTGCCTGGGACAGAGTCTCTTGAGTCCTCTTATAGCTACAGAGAAGAGAGAGAGAACAATTTAAGTTCTAGCAGTTACCAGTTATATTTTCAACATCAGTTGGCATTGAAATACAGTAGCTGAGAGGCAACTAAAAACCAAGACAGCAACATAAAACATCTCTTTTCTCTTTAGAGGTGAACACATCAAGAGAGATATTTAAGGCATGCAACTAAAGGTTTAAAGTAAACCTCAAACATGAGGCTGAAAATGCCTCTGACTCAAAAGTTATGGAGTTCATAAAAAAAAAGTATCATAAAATTAGTCTGTACGACTATATTCACTACCGTTCAAAAGTTTGGGGTCTGGATTCAGGATTTATTTGATCAAAACCACAGAAAAAAAAAAGATATACACCCAAAACTTAATATTGGTATAAAGACTTGGAAATAGTACTTTTTTTTTCTAACCACAGAAAATAACAGCATATGGGTTTAAATGACATGGGCGAATAAATAACACAATCTTTATTTTTGGTGGGATTACTCTTTTAAAAGCTAACAGGACGAACTAGGATCGGCACAGAATCTGCACCTGGTTCGAATCCACATCATCATCCTGATGAGACACACACAATTGTACAGACTCTCATTTACACAGACAAATGCACCATTCACAAACACACAGATGCATGTGCATAAACATTAACAGCACCTGTCCTTTTCAAAATAATATACACACTTTTTCCCACAATTCACACTCACATGTAATGCAATATCTAAAGCAAACAAGTACACAGCCTTCCTCACACAGCCCTCTAATGACCTTAGATAAGGCTAAGCCCCTTTGCTCGGTGAAAATCCCATCATGTGTTCTCCAAGTCAGCTTTCTCAGCACATGCCAGAGCACAATCACAACCACCTTCTCAAACAACACAATGCAACCTGCCCTTTCTACATAGCCTTAAAGTCTGAGATCAGACAGTATTGCAGATCATTGATATCTAATGAGACATCTGACAAAGGGGTAAGTGTAGTGGCTATGGAGCTAGGTCGCTAACTCGAGACACAGGTTTGACATCATTGGGCCTGTGAGGAAGATCTCAAGCTAAAAAATATTCCTTGATGATAACATTATTCATTCTTAAAGGAGAACTCCGGTCAATTTTAAAATTGAGCTCATTTTTTTGTACATTTGGAGTGCTGTCAGTACAGACAAAAACAACAAAAATTGGTGTTGCCTGCACAGTGTTATCGTCTTTTTAAAATTTGCACCCTGCTGACTTCAATGGGGCAAGTTCTAAACCTGCTTTTAGCCTCTTAACATCCTTGATTTGTCATTTCGAGTGCATAGCCATGTGAGTGGTGCTATTAAGAGTGACCACGGTCAATCTGACTGCAGTAGATGTAAAAGATATTAATAAAAATTATGTTAATCCAGCCAGCTCACATACGTGAATTTACTTCCTGTTTTCGGTCGAAGTCCACAGTAGTTGTTTGTCGAGTTTGCGAGTTTTTTTTTTTTTAACAAATGTTACTCTACATATGCAGTGTTAGGGGGATTTAAGGTATTTTTTAAATTTCTATAAATAAATAATAATGCTGGCATATTTTGGTTTATTTAAATATAAAATATTAATAATGAAAAAAATAAATAAATAAAAAAAAAAAATCAAACTCACGCATCAGAGCGTCCAATGTCCTCAAGTGTGGCCGAAGCAGAAAGGTATCTACAAACACAAATGTCCACATTACCAACATATAAAAACATACAAAACTCCTGTTTAAATTCTTTGAATTGTGCACTCTGCAAGAAACTAATGGATGTTAAAAGATTATGACATTAGACCTAAAACTGATGACAAATTAAAGGGCTTAGAAGTGAATGGAGCTGGATCTAGTGCAGAACATAAAACTAACATTAACAGAATTTAGACACACGGATCTGAATGCAAATCACCGCCCAGTCATGTTGAAAAACTCCTAGAACAGGTCTGACTTCTCTTGGGCTTAGGTGTCTTAAAACACTCCCTAACACTTTACACTCCTGAACGAAATCTTAAGACCAGGGGAAACGACTGTCTTACTGCGTCCCACCTCGGCAGCGATGGCGTGTTGCAAAAGGCTTGGCTTGTGCAGCTCAACAATCCTGCCACATTTAAAGAGAGAAAGCCTTTTTTACACTTGCCATCTGGAGATCATGACAGTGTGACTGCCTGAAGGACAATGACATGAAAGGCATATTTTTGTGCAGATTTGACCTTTTTAAGGCTATGGTCTTAAACTTTTGATCAGCCTGATGAACAGCCTGTTTTGGTTTAAACGCAGTTTTCAATAAATTGCCTACTCTATATTTTTTGTCTCTTGCTCCTTTTTCTTCTTTTGGCATTTGAAGCAGTACTTATAACCCGTTAAGGATCTACCAGGATTTGTTCAGGAGTGTATATCAGCTATTTTTGTGTGTATATATAAATTACACATTACTGATCACAATCTCAAAATATTCTACAGAAGAGAATCAAAAATCTGCTATCTTTATTTGATGTAGGCACATTAATTCTGCTCTGATATCATGTTTTGAGCGGAATATATCTGCATATAAAACTGGGTGGGAGGGAACACATGTTTACCAAAAAACACAGGTGGCCAGACAAAAAGGCCAGCTGAGCTTGGGATCAATAGGAAATAAGGTAAGAGATAAATATAATAAAACTGAAAGGAAGCAAAAAGGACAAAACCTTCCAGTTTTGTCATTTTTTTCTCTCTCCTATTTTGTTATATTTGTCACTCACTTCATAGAGCATCAGAAGCTAGCCAGCTTCATAGTTCAAGCAATATAATCAAGAATTAATAAAACGTATAGCTTGATAACTGATGCTACAGTACTTCTATAAATTATGAGATATATGCTGTCATAAAATAATTAATGGAAGTACATTAGCATCAGTACTTCTATTAATTATTTTATGACAGCATAGATCTCATAATTAATAGAAATACTGATGCTACAGACTACTTCTATTAATGATGAGATGCATGCTGTCATAAAATAGAGGTTTTGAGAGCCGGCAAACTCCCTTATGGAAAGGAAACAAACATTCATTTACTTGGAAGAAGCACAAAGGATACAAATGAAAGAAGGTAGCAGCAGGTCCACGCCTAGCAAACAGAAATCACAAGACCAAGCAACTACAGGCAAAAGAGAGAAAACTCACAAATTAGATGAGGTAACTCTACGATTCAAGTCTCCAAGTGTTTGTGAGGTTCTCATATAACTAGAAGCAGAAATATAGAAAAATTAATGAAGCTATTTATTTTATTTTAAAGGTTTAAGCTTAGATGCTAGTGAAAGAACACCAACTAAGGATGCACCAAAATGAACATTCTTGGCCGAAACCCGAAAACCGAAGAAAAAGAGGAAACCGAGGCCTAAAACCGAAAAACAGAATGAAATGATGCCAATTATTAGTGCCATTGCATTTATGGCTATGACTGTGTACAAACTTTACTAAAATCAAGGCATTGCAATTGCATAAATGAATATAAAATTTTCAAAAAATAAATCAATTACAAACATTTATTTAGCACAATGCACAGTATAAAGTAAAATTCAAACTAAAATGTTTAACTTGACCCCACTTATGTGTACATTAAATAATAATCTACTGGTCTGCAGAAAGGTTTTAAAATTAAATGTTCTCTCATGAAAACAAAGCCGAGCACGAACTTCTCATCACACGAGCAGCCAGTTTAAACGTCTAAATTAGTTGCTTACATTTAAAAAAATGAGCATTCAATAGCATAAAAAGCCTTTTTAAAGAACAAAGGTCCATGTTTAATACAAATGTACACGAAACTTAATGAAATATTAAGTGAAATTAGAAAATATTTAAGAGAGTGTTAATTTAGTTGTATTCATACACATACATATTTTTTTTGCAATGTCACAATTAATAATGTCAGGGTTTACTGGGTTTTACATGATTGTTTTTGTATTGGTGGTGGTATACTAAAAAATAAACATTGTCACGCGTTTATTTTTCTTCTTTTCACAGATTCTTGATGGTTAGAGGACAGTTGCTAGAGTCGTTCCCTGTCGTTTCAAAGAATAGTACAACGGCGAGCGTATCAAGTATAAACGCCTCAACAGTTTGGAGGAGAGGTGCGCACGCTGTCACGGTTTCTGTTTGCGTTATCACAACATTTCGGCCATATTGTTTCGGTGTTAAGTCTTTAGGCCGAAAACCGAAAATGCACTTTTGGGCCATTTCGGGTGAAAATTTTCGGTGGCCGAATACTCGGTGCATCCCTAACACCAACGATGAGCTTCAAGAAGATAGGACTGAAAATAGAAAATAGACTGTGGAAATAAATATATATATATTTTGATTTGCATATACAAATTACATATTCAAACAATACTACGACCAATAATAATAATAAAGGAAAAAAATGTCCCATTTGTGGGCACTGTCAAGCACATAAAAACACAGCATGAGATTAGATAAGACAGGTGATCTTCAAACATTCAAAAAGACTGGACAGGTTACAGACAGAAAGCACTCACGCATTGGAGCACTGAACGTCATGCCAGCCTTTGTTGATGTTCTGTTTGATTTCAGAGAGTGGGCCGATGCCAAGCCTGCGCTTCAGCTCAGCGGCGTGCCTCTCCTTTGCCACGAGAACCTGTCTCAGTGTCTGAATCTCATCGTCAACCTAACAAAGAAAAACACAAGATAAAAATAAAATGTTTAGAATGACTGGCCTGAACCATGAAAAGCAAAATTATAGTATTCATTTAGGCAAAAACTGATACCAAACGTAAAGTTTTGGTAATTGGGAAATTGAATTTGGTATGCTGTTCAGGGTATTGTGTTCTCAGGTGATAAATTAAACCAGTTGTAGTAAAAAGTAGGCAGATATTTCAGCCAAATATGTTTTACATATCGTTACTCTAACATACACACCGTTGACATATTTAGCTGTGTTATCCAAGTTTTGTGCACAAAACAGATGATTGAATCAGAATGCACCAATTAAACCTCACTGATTTTGGCCAATTCAATATGGGGTTGTGCTTCAGGGGACGAGTTACAGAAAGATCCTAACTTTAGAATCCTATCTTATCTATTCGGTAACCATGGCAATTTTAATTAGCACCTAATTTAGGACACATTTAGAACAAAACCCTATAAATTGGCATTTCTGAAGTGAAGTGCATAATTTTATCTTAACTAGAGATAGGAAAAAATGGTATTTCAGAAGCAAACTTTACCAAAAAAAAAAATAATACAAGATACAAGATGAAGAACAGCGATGTTTGATTGTGGAAAAACTTTGTGAACACCCAAATGATGTGCTGCACTTTGACGACAAAACTCTGACAAATAATCGCAGACTCTTATGAAATAAAAGGATTAGGCTTTGCCTTCTCTACCAAGCTTATCAAACTGAATGAAAATCACCACTTATTTTGTTTTTTCCATTCTCCAGTTTTTCCTTTTTACTTCACAGCAGCTGCTTGCATGTCGTTGGTTGCTTGGTAATACAGACCTAAGTGTTGATTACTGAACTCGATGGAGGGGTTTAAGATTTCCTAACAACAGATAAAATGATTTTGTAAGATAGGATAAGAATCCTAAATCTTTATAATTTATTCTGTTATACGAATTTGTGACAAATCCTAAATGAACTTGTCAGATCTTAATATAAGATAGAATGTTTTTTTTAATATGGCCCCAGCTCTGTAAACACATTTAATCCATTTTCATCCTTTCATATTTTGCAGAATGGCCAAGCTGCTCCAATGAGAACGAAATAGGAAATAAAAATAAGAAATAACAAATAAGAATCTTTGGAGTAATTGTGCTGTAAGTGTTGAGGGTAAAGGGTGTTAGATAATGTCTGCTGTACCTTGGTGAGTTCCACCTGCATCTCTTCTGCCTCCTCCTCTGTCAGGCCTGGTGGCAGGGTCCCTCCAATGGCTACGCCTGGAGATGTCACTGAAGCACCTATAGGCACATAAACAATGAAGAACCTATAGACATGTGAACAAATGCAGGGCTTCAGACCAAAGGAGCTGATGTACTGATATACTGTGGGTCTTTGCATGAGAGACACGAGATTAGGGGGTGAAAATACAACAGGGGTAGCATGAGGGTTTCTATTCAGACAGTGTATCTTTTTTCCAGTTTGCTCAACACTACATGATCAGCTGTCAGGCCGAACAGACCTGTTATAATGTCACATTAATGTACAGACGCATGTAGTGTAAGTAATTAAAGCCTACAACTAAACCCGGAAAAAAATGTCCTACATAATACTTCTTATTAGCGCCACCCGGTAACTTACATCTTTAGTGCACCTGATCAAAACAAACACAGAAAACTCTAACACAGACGACACTTACCGTGTTCAGAAGAGTCCATTTCTAAATTAATTATGATCTTCGGTCAGGTTTATCTGCGTGTAAACAAGTGTCAACGCGTATATTTGTGGGATGAGTGGAAAAAGAGAATTGACCCTCCCTGACTTGAACAACAACACAAGAGGCTTTAGCTTTAACCAGCGCAGCGACGGGCCTGTGCTTCCGGAGCGCGCATATGACGTCACCACGCCTACGCTCGTGCTTTTTACGATTAAAAGACCTGTACATATTTTATGTCTTTTATACAGGACACAGAACATATGTTACTTTTGCGTGCTTTGTACTGTTATGGGAAATTGTTAAATTCGGTTGGTTAATTAAGGAAAAAGAGTTATCTTATGTAATAAATACATAACTGTGGCTTTTACAGAAATTCTACATTTACAAATTACATTTTTCAAAATACGATTATTGTTTTTTAAAGAGGAATTTCTAATATATTTAGAGACACTGAGAAGGATGAAAAGTCCCAAAGCAATGCATTTGTACTCTTTATTGAAAGACTTCGGTTTTATAATAAAATAAATAAACAACTAAAAACTCCTCCCCTACTTTTCTTTTCTTTCATTTGTTTATTTTCTATTTCAACTTTGTCTTAACTTTTAGGTACTTTTTGGAAATTTGATTTGGCTGCTCCTGGTACTGTCCCTCTCATCTGAAGATACAATATATGGTGTAAAAGATGTGTGTTTATTATTGCATTTACTAATAATTGTTATATTATATTATTATTATTTTAATATTATATTAATAAAACAATATTGTTGTTATTTTTACTTTTATTATATATTTTTGTACTATATATGTTATTATATTAAAAAAATAATTATTGAATATTTATTCATAAATGTAACAATGCACAACCCCAATCATAGTATTAAGTAACAAATCCATCTATTTTTTATTTTACATTATTTATATTCATAAATAAAAACAAAAATTTAAATATTATTTTCTTAATAAAACTTTCTTTCTTATTCCTTTTATTTCTATACAGCCTACATAAAGAGGATAGGGTAATTCTCACACTTAACTCACCATCCATCACATTTTCATGTCACTCTTTTTTTATTTTATTTTTTATTTTAAGAAGACTACTCTCAGTCACATAAAATGTTCATAAACATTTATTTTACATCTGCAAATAAATGTTTTTATCTTTTAGTCATACAATAACCATGCTACAACATAAAGGTCTACTATTATTATTTTTAATAATTCAGTGTATGTACAAGAGACCTTCACTGTAGAACTATGGGTAGCATAGTTTTAAAGTCAAATTCATTTAACATACCATTTGAAACAAGGACAATTCATTATAAACATGACAAAATAAGATCATAAATAAAATAAAAAATGCATAAAATAACCATTTCACTATTATTACACTAAACATTTTCTCTTCTTTCTGAAGACATAATATGCAACAATTTCTTGACAATTTTACTCCAGTATGTTTTATTTTTTTTTCTCCTTTAAGCAAGGTTCATTCAACTTAAAATTCAACATTTTAATGAATAAGCCATACTGTTTATACAAGTGTAGTTCTGATACAGATAAATGCACAGGAAAAAAGACCACTGAGGCTAACATCCATTAAAAACCATCTAGAGCACTGGAACGAGGAAATGGGGAAACAGAGTAAGAGAGAGAGAGAGAGGAGAAAGAGTGATCGAAGATACCATTGTACTTCATAACGAAATGTAAACAATTCAATGAAAAATCATTGGCCTTTGAAGAATAACTAGAAAATGTTAATAAACATGGCTGGTGACATTTGTATTAGGTTCAAGTTGATAAGGAAAAATAAGAACAGACAGATGACAAACACAATTCAAACCTGCCCATGTAAGCAGGCAGTGAGGGATGTTTGAGTAAAAAGCACAAGTTAATATGGCATCGATGGTCATCTTAAGGTTTGAAATGGCAAATTCAGAAAATCAGGTATTAAAATCAGGAATTAAAGCACTTTCAGATATACCGTCTGTCTCAATGTCTTTCAGCTGTTAGTGACATTGACACACATCATCTAATTCACAACTTTACTGAAAATACAAAGACTAAACGTAACCAAGACCAACACGATGATGGTTCAAAGTCCTATCACAAAACTAGTCTTTATGACACAAAAATAGTTTTATGGTTTAATTAATTAATCTCACATCTATGAGACTGCTCAAAGGGGAATCTATCAAATAAACGCTTAAGTATTCGAAGATTTTAGTTGACAGATTTCACAGAAAATCATGTAGTGTATGATGATCACAGTCTACGATTTTGTTTGATTCCATGCAGTCGGAGGATATCAAACATTTTTGATATTTCAAAATGATTTTTTAACACATTTTGTTTTCAATTGTCACGCGTCTCCTAGTTTGTTTGTGATTGGAATGACTTGAAGGTCTGGTAGTGAGTGATCATCAGTTGTTTAGTGATGCCCAGTTAACGATTTACAAAGTCGACACATGTATGATGTCTAGAGTTATAAAATCTGTACCGATTTTAAAAGCTGTATGTTGTATTACAGGCTTAAGACTGCACGTTTGTTCAATCTACTGGTATTCAACTTCACAGAATGAAGGAAAATTTAACTTCGAAAAAAAACCTCACTTAGTCTTGCATTTGCTTTATTGTGAACTCTGTCCTCAGAAAGAGAAAGAATTTGCCAGGTCCAAAAAAAGGAAGAAAAAAAGCCTGTTTTTAAGACAATTAAGATTTTTAGAATTATTTTCATGACAATTAAGTATATTTCTCTCCATCCTTAATACTGAGGAGAAACAAAATCCAATTATAAAAAATTACATATTTATTATTTTACTACCTCTAATTACTTATGCTAATTTATTTTAAAATGCCAAGACAAAATCAAAAACATTCGAGAAATGTCCTAAACAGGCTTTATATTATTTACGTAAAATATATAAATTGCCCTTTCAAGCTTTGAGATTGGACTTTGAGCGTGTATGCTAGTAGTGTTAAAAAGAGTTTTGCCACTTCAATAAATAATATGAGAAACAAAGAACCCGCAAAACTGCAAAGAAACTTCAAAAATGTATCTCACAATATACAGTATATCTTGGCATAGGGAGTCTCAAGTAACCACAGACACAAACAATAGTTATCTTAACTATATGAGCCAACAACTAAAATATAAAAATGCCCAAAATATATATATATATATTTTGTATATACACGTGATGTGTGTAGATTGTATATCTATACAAAAACGTCATCGGTTTTAGTTTCCACCTTACGTACACACTCAAGATATGACACTATGGGAGTTTATATCAGTTTGCATCCGCGATTCCCTTTTGATTAGAGAAAAGAGACACAACTGGGCCAAATTGAGCTTAACACTAAGACCAAAGCGGAGTTCCCACATCAATGAACAACCTACAAACTACACAGAGATGACAGTTAATCCCATTCCACATACAGAGAAGAGTCCTAATTTTGGCTCAGCTTGTTGCAAATAGTCCACAGAACAACACAGAAACACAAACACCCAGATGTAAATGAGCAAAATACTAAGGAATGGCAAGTTATCAATTGCATCATTTGTATCTCTCTCTTTCTCTCTCAAAAAAGCATAGCTGTAATGAAACGAAAAAACAGAGCGAAGCAATCCAAAGAACCCAATTAACGTAGAATGTCGTTAGCTTCAAAATTAAACTCCATTTCATGACACGAAGCAGATAAAATGGCCTACGGGGACGTGAAAGATTCAAACTCTGGGTAAACCAGGAGGATTGGAGAGGTATGCAAAGAGAATATTCAAGATTTTAAGAGTGAAATATATTCCTGCTGTTTTCTCTAATCTTCGAACACCTATGGCAAGTTCAAGGAGTCAACTTTAAACCACACTCAAGTACTTATAACTGGGAACAAACATTTCATGTCAATAAATATACCCAAAAACTGCGAAGAATTCATTTAACAAAGTCAAGGAACAGTGCATGCCACAGGACGACGAGCAAATCTGGCTGGAGGAGCGAGGGAACGAGTGGAAGGCAAGATCGGAGGTCAAAGGCAACAAAGAGATCAGGGTAAACGACAGGATCTTTTTTATCTTTTTTTCTTAAGCTCGCTTTTTTTAAGTTACGGTACGGTGAGGCGGATGTGTGCCACTCTTGTGTGGGTGATGGAAGTGGTGCGTGAGTAAGGGACAGGATAGGCTAAAGAATTCAGCTCCATCGCTGGCTTTCCTCCCTCTCGAAAAACAGGCTTTTTTAGTTATAGTTGAAGGATTCTTTCCATTCGTTTTTTCCCCTCGGCTAGATGGCACAGGGTGGCGAGAGACAAGCCACGGGGTGGAGGTGATGAGGGTGAGGCTTTTAGTTGAAGCCGGTGTCAGTGTGGTAAGTAGAATGGTAACCGTCGGACGTTAGCTGGGTGGTTTCTGTGGCAGACGAGGGCTGCAGCACAATGGGCTCACCTCCACCTGCCTCTGTGGAAACATTTCGAAAGGGAAAAAAACTGGTTTAAAAACAAGGAGTCTTCAGGACAACAGGAATAGCTGTTTACATGCTGCATGTTATGGGGGTATAACACACATGAACAAACCTAACCTCTCTCATCGGACTGCAGTTGGGCCTCTAAGTCCTCAGGGGAGACATAGAACTCCTGTTCCTGTCCTTCAGGAGGCCGTGGTTTACACTTCCCACAGCAGCAGTTACAACAACAGCACAGGCAACAGCAGAAGTAGCAGCCTGTAGCCAGGCCGCAGAAAATAAACAGAGCCTGTAGGGGGAGACAGAGAATGCACTGCCATTCTTTTCTGAAACAATTTGATACTTTCATTTAGCAAGGATGCATTAAATTGATCAAAAGTGACAGTAAAGACATTGCAAAATGATGTTGCTAAAGATTTATATTTTCAATAAATGCTGTTCTGTTGAACTTTTTATTCATCGAAGAATGCTGACAAAATAAGCTGTCATCATAGGAAAAAAAATACATTTTAAAATATATTAAAATTACAGCTATTTTCAATTTTAATAGTGTTTACATTATAATGTTTGTACAGGATTCTATATAAAATGAATGCATCCTTAGAGAGAATGTTCACACGTAATCGCGTTTTTCCATTTCACTGCACTACTTTTCCATTGTTTTTCAATGTAAACACACTAGATGGACATCTTTGACCAATGCGCTTGCGTCTCGCGCATGACATAGCATTAAAAAAAACACGGCACTCAAGTTAAAAGAAGTTCAAGTTTTAAAAAACACGTCTCTAGACCTTGAGCTTTTTTCCGTTCCACTGACCTGCATCTTGTGTTTTTAACAGTACATGTTCTGTGTGAGCCAGCCCTTAATGAGTATTTTAAAAATCTAACTGACCCCAAACATTTGAAGGGTCGTGTACTGTTTCTATACTGCACTGCCGATGATGTCATCATATGTTTTTATTGAAATGCCACTTGGAGTCTTACCTTGGCCCACCAGCTGGACAGAACAAAGTAAGTGTTGACATTCTCTTCTCCAAACTGTTCAGCCACATAAAGTCCCAGAGAGCCATACTTGTCGTAGATGTTTCTCTTTGTTGGGTCGTTAAGGATGGCATGGGCATTGTTTATCTCTTTAAACTTATCGGATGCCTCAGGGTTATCAGGATTCTTGTCAGGGTGATATTTCAAAGCCAGTTTTCTGTAAAAGATAAAGAGAGAAATACAAACTACATTAAATGCATTCAGATTTTGGCATTTGGAAAAAAAATATATAATTTTTTTGTATCAATATAACAGAGTTGAAAGTAGCTCAACAAACCTGACATAATTTGTTTTTTTTTAATAAAAAAAATAAAACTTAATTTGTTGTCTTGTTTAATTCAACATCTATTTTAAAAAACGATTAATTATAATAAATTTTTAAAAATGACAACATTTATTCCTTTGTCACTTATTAGTGAAACAATATTTACAAAGTAGAAATAAAGTAAATAGTTAACTTTTTAATACGCAGTAGTTTATCATCATTTTTTCTGTGTCATAAATTGGTATTGAGAATCATGAAATACCTTAGCCGCACAATACAGTGATAGCAATGCTGTGATATTTCTAGATTAGGTTAATGTGCCATGAAAATCTCACACTGTGATATGTCTTTAAAAAACACTTCATAATGAGATCCATTATTCTCGCATAGTCCTAGAGTAAGCAAAACGGTGCATGGGAAACAGTCCCTGAATGCACTTAGTTTTATTGAGCTGTAGGGTTCCACATTGCTGTGTTCTGCATTTAGCCGATGAATGAACATCTGATGAAAACCATGGCCAGTAAGAGTGAGATAAAGCAGAACAGGAGGAGGATGCTGAGGAAGGGCCGGCGCTTCTCACACTCACCTGTATGACTTCTTGATGTCATCGACAGTGGCCACTTTGTCGACACCCAGAACATGATAGAGTGATTCTCCAGAGGTGGAGAGAGTGCGCTGCCTCTGCTGGTCAGCCATGGTGTATCAGGTCCTCAACAATCTAAACACACAAACACACTTTGCTGGATGATAATATTACAAACTCTTAAAAGGACACTGACCTAATTCCAAAAGACCTTCATCATAATCATTGCCATAAATCAAGAAAAAATAAATAAATAAAAATTACGGATCCTCATGATTTGCTTAGGTCATCTACTGATTTTTTCTTGCACTCTCTCTCTCTTTATCAGGCATTTATTTATTAAACAATCCATATCCCCACACAAACTCACCTAAAGGATTATTAGGAACACCATACTAATACCGTGTTTGACCCCCTTTCGCCTTCAGAACTGCCTTAATTCTACGTGGCATTGATTCAACAAGGTGCTGAAATGTTGGCCCATATTGATAGGATAGCATCTTGCAGTTGATAGAGATTTGTGGGATGCACATCCAGGACACGAAGCTCCAGTTCCACAACATCCCAAAAGATGCTCTATTGGGTTGAGATCTGGTGACTATGGGGGCCATTCTAGTACAGTGAACTCATTGTCATGTTCAATAAACCAATTTAAAATGATTCAAGCTTTGTGACATGGTACATTATCCTGCTGGAAGTAGCCATCAGAGGATGGGTACATGGTGGGCATAAAGGGATGGACATGGTCAGAAACAATGCACAGGTAGGTTGTGGCATTTAAACGGTGCCCAATTGGCACTAAGGGGCCTAAAGTGTGCCAAGAAAACATCCCCCACACCATTGCACCACCACCACCAGCCTGCACAGTGGTAACAAGGCATGATGGATCCATGTTCTCATTCTGTTTATGCCAAATTCTGACTCTACCATCTGAATGTTTTAACAGAAATCGAGACTCGTCGTCAGACCAGGCAACATTTTTCCAGTCTTCAACTGGAAATTGTAGCCTTTTTTCCTATTTGTAGTGGAAATGAGTGGTACCCAATGGGGTCCTCTGCTGTTGTTGTTTCACAAATGCTTTGCTGCATACCTCGGTTGTTATTTCAGTCAAAGTCAGAAACTTCTATCATCAGCTTGAATCAGTCGGCCCATTCTCTTCTGACCTCTAGCATCAACAAGGCATTTTCACCCACAGGACTGACGCATACTGGATGTTTTTCCCTTTTCACCACATTCTTTGTAAACCCTAGAAATGGTTATGTGTGAAAATCCCAGTAACTGAACAGATTGTGAAATACTCAGACCGGCCCATCTGGCACCAACAACCATGCCACGCTCAAAAATGGCTTAAATCACATTTCTTTCCCATTCTGACATTCAGTTTGGAGTTCAGGAGATTGTCTTGACCAGGACCACACCCCTAAATGCATTGAAGCAACTGTCATGTGATTGGTTGATTAGATAATTGCATTAATGAGAACAGGTGTTCCTAATAATCCTTAGGTGAGTGTATATTACTATATATTATACTATATATTGAATTAATTTGATTGCAACTAATATATATATATATATATATATATATATATATACACAAAGTATATAGAGTGAGAGAAAGAAAGAGAGAATAACTAGCCGCAATAGGTGTACCGTTGCTTGTCACCTGTTTTTAAAATCCAAGCCATGAAAGAATAAACTAAAGGCTTTTTATATTTCTCTAAAAATGTATTTCTCAAGTGTCTAGGATTGTTATATATATAATATATATATATATATATATATATATATATCAGAAAGTTTATCAATACACATTTGAGTGATTCTGAGAATGCTGAAGAATTAAAAAAAAAATCTAATTGGCTCTAAACATGAACAAAATTATTCTACCACCAAAAGTCAAATTTTGTGCAGAAACTTTTATTCCTTACAACCTCCAATAAATGCTGCCTTTAAGTGCTTAGAAGCTTCTGTGACCGCTCAACTGCAATCTTGACCCATTCCTCGATAGAAAAAGCTTCCAGATCATTGACAATCTTTGGTTTTCACGTTATCACTGCTTTCTTCAAATTCCACCAAATATTTTCAATGAGATTTAAATCTAAAGACTGTACAGGCCAATCTAGGATGTTCTACGACTGATGCCTGAACCAAGCTTCAGTAGATTTGGATGTGTACTTTGGGATCGCTGTCCTGCAGGAAACTCCATTGATCATCAAGCTTCAGTTTCTGCACCGAAGGTATCACCATCTTTTCCAAAATGGCTTGATACTTCAAAGAATTCATAATGTCCTTCATACACAGTCAAGATTTCCACTTCCTACGACAGCAAAGCACCCCCATAACAAGACTGGAGCGCCTCCATGTTTGACCATGAAGATGGTGTTCTTTTTTCACCAGACACCGGATCCAGTTTGGTCACATGATATTCCAATAATTTTTCCAAAGATTTTCCCACTTCTAAGTGTTTTGTTGTTTAGATAAAACCACCCAACAGAATCTCAGATGTCTGTTTAATAACCCTTCAAGTTGCTAAATATGTAATGATTATAAATGTGCCTTTAAAACCTCAGAGGACAAAAAAACAAACATTATCAGATGAACAGACTGCAGAGAGAACATTTCCAATATTCTCCAGATCATTTCAACACTAAAACCACTCAAGATAATTAGTAGTTTAAATGGATTTCAAATCAATACTTCAACTTAGAGAAAATACAGAGCAGCTGGATCTTTTAAAGACGGCATAAAGGTTTTAACAGGGGCCAAACAATGATGCTGCTTGTTTTTGTCTCAATATCTGGCATGGCATTATGTTCAGGCTATTGACACAAGAACAGATAACAAGAATAACAAGAATCACAAAGATGTTTCTAATAACAACTTTAGCTCAATTGCACACAAATACAGTGGTTTTGAACTAATCCTATTCCTGGCCTTTACTAATGTTGACATAACTAGCCCTCTCTAGTGATCAGAAGTATTACTCATTCTCTAGCTGACTCACACTTTTCCTGTCTCGTGTTGGTCCTGAGAAAGAGAAATTGATACCACCACAGGATATCACAGGGTTCAGTTTCTAGCAGATGTCATATTCACAACTCGCCAGAGTGGTGACAGATTTTCATAAGTGTTGCCCTGTGAATCAGTCAAATCTATAGATTACTTAAGGTGAACTAAAGCACATGAAATACAAAGACTGACATGGTTTCACGAGGGTGGGAGAATAAAGCAAGCGTTTATCGGTCTCTCCATGTGATTGCTTGTCTCATCATGTATGGAGAGGCCTGGGTTTGTGTCCAATCAATCTTGGACACACTGAACTTTCCTCAGCTGACTGTAGTATCTCAGGTGGTTTACTCATACTCAGCACTGCCAGACCCTATTGAGACAAGCATCCAGAGATCCCGAGTGGGACGACTCCGCACAAGAACACATTTGGGCACATTGTTTTAAGTCAGATTAGTTTAAAATCAAAGAGAAAAGTCTGCAAAGATTTATTATGAATAGGCCTACAATATAGCGGTAGGCAAATAAGGTATTGTATATTCATACGATGTTCACTGTAGGTTGTGTTTAATACAGATGTTAATGATAAGCATCTGATTAAATGATGATACAAAATACATAGTTACAAACAGAAGTCATATATCATGGATGCACATTTTCCAGAATCATCATGATTCAGGAGCTGAATTGGCTGCATTCAGCATCATTCACTGAAACTTTCAGGAAGACCCACCCATGATTCCTAACAAAGGTGTAGGATATTGGTTTACCCTTGCAAGTCTTCTTTTACTTGTTCATGTGCCTTCATAATCTTTAATCAAAATAAATTCTCTTCCCTCTTGCAATCACACCTCTCCTCTGATGACGTATTTACGGGTGCAAGGGCGGGACAACCCGTCACTCACATGAATGACAGCAATAGACATCCCTATTTTATCCCTATCCCTATAGATATCCCTATCCCTATATATCCCATGTTACGTCTTAAAAAAGCAGTTGCTAAAGGGCTAAATGGGACTACACATCGTCTACTATGTCATCACACCGAAAAGGAAAGCTCAGTCCGCTTTTACAGCCTCATTATACAGAGAGCTTGTTTTTAGCAATATTCCAAAAGCCTATGGGAAAGTCGTATTGGGGTGTTCCTCGAGAGAACCAGTGTGATGCTATCTGCAGGTTGGCCTACAAAGTGATGTCATTAATTTCATGCCAACTTTAAAAGAAAACCGGTAGGCTACTGTGTTCTGTGAACTGAAGGCTCGTGAAACTTATATCTGAATCTTATAACTGGTTGTTCAGATGAAAATGTGTAGTTAAGTAGCCTAGTATTTTATAAATTAATTAAATGCATCAATTAATTATATTTATTTTATTTTTTTACAATTTATATTAGTGCTCGACACCATGTAGTCCTTGAAGTCTTTGAAACGTCATTGAAATGGGAATATATAGCTTTTGAAGGAAGTAGCCTACAAGTTATTTCTGGTATAATAATAAGGATGTTAAAATCAGAAATTATTCTATCATTTGGCAATATTATATGAGATGCGAACTGCATTTCTGTTAGTATTGAACAGTACTGCAAGTACAAAAAGAAATGTTAGTAAGGAATCCTAATCAAAATAGCAGCACGATTCCCATTCCTGCCGTTTACAGATCCACACGTAACTGCGCTATTCGGTCTGCGTGAAAGAAATGTCGCACTACTGTCCGCGTCATGGAATCTCAATTCAAATACGATGTAAACAAGAGAAAATACACAAATGATTCATTCATTCACAATATAAAGATGATGGGCGATTTACTGATGTGAATCTAAGCAACAATCGGCAATGAGATCATTTGCATGCTCTACAAAAATGCTGATAGCGACCTACTGTGTTAATAGAATACTAAAATATGGATTACTTAAACAAACGGAAATGATTTACAGTAAATCTCTGACTTGCTCCGCTTCTTCATCACCAGGAGGAAGGGCCCCCGGTGATTTGTTTGCATAGCGCTCCAGCATCTATATTATCTGGCCTGTTAGCTCGCGCTCCCGTTAGACCACATATAAGCCCAATTCACCCAAGCCCACTGATAAATCAAGGAAGCAGGCAAAATGTGTGTTTTTTTTTAGGCGTAACGAGGTTTAAACGCATGCATCGCTTACCGCTTCGTCGGCCCCGGCGTCGTGATTTAATTTCAGTGCGTTAAAGAAACCGATGTTAAATTTGTGGTTGCATCCCCGGGAACCGCGCGATCACGTAAGTGTACCAGATGCAGCAGATCTCGCTCGGCTCCGCCCACCCGTGACATCATCACAACTACGTGCGCATGGTGCGCATCTCCCCCTAGAACTAGGCCCGTTTCACTAGATGAAAGGGCTCTTACACTGTCATGGAGTGGGTATGGCTTAAAAGTCAAAACAGTAACCCTGATATTACCTAATTTAATGTGTGTTTAAGTTTGAATACAGATAACTAATTTTTGTGACTGTTTGTAATGATCCCTGAATCATGCTGTTCATTTGTCCTCTGTCGCCACCTTCTGTTGAATGAGAGAACTTGCATTGAATCATTGGTAGAGCAGTGTTCGTTGATCACGGATCAGAAACACTTTAGTTTAATAGTTTCTGTTAAACAATTGTCAAAAATGACACCGTGTTTCTTATAATTCTTAATTTATTAAATTTACATTTCAGATAAATATTTCTTATATAAAACATTGTTTCACTCAATCATTTCCAACCAGCTCTGCCAACATATTTAACATATTTTAATTAAAAAATAATGACAGAAATATATTATACAGTGTTTTAGAGTGTTAAAGAGTTCCCAATCCATTTGTTACAAATGACAAATAAGGAACTATATGCATCCGAGAGGTGTAATTTGTTTTCAACATGATGCTCAAATGATCTGAGGCTGATCCAGCTGATCAACTCGCTTTGCTTCACCCAGCACTATGAATATGGTGACACCAATGATGTTCACCAGAGCCAGGATTGAGAACACAGTCTCCCAGGAACCTGTCATCTCAATGATGTAGCCAGACATGTACACCATCAACAAACCTGTGAAATACAGTACATAGAGCATGTGCTATGGGCAAAGAGGAAGGTATTACAATAAAAAAAACAAGTGCACAGGACTTTAATGTGAATTTACACAAAAAAATAGTTTCAGATCACTTTCACTAGGCCTATTTACATTTTTTCAAATATTGTATACTAACCTTATCAAAAAAGTATTTCCTTTAAAATCTAGGAACACTCCGACTTTTTGGGACTTTAGCCTATTCACCTTACCCCCCAGAGTTAGATAAGTCCATACATACCTTTTTCATCTCCGTGCGTGCTATAAGTCTGTTTGACGCACCCACCGCTAGCCTAGCTTAGCACAAAGACTCTATGTGACTGGTTGCAGCTTTCATACTGATCCAAATGAGTGGCAAAATAACGCAAACGTTTTCCTATTTACATGTTGTGATTTGTATAGTCAAATGAGACACAGACATCTTTTAACCGTATAAAACCTGGGAACTATTCTCTGAAGGCGAAGCACTGCTACTTTGACGGCGTAATAACCGCATCACCGAAGACACGCGGTGAGGAGCGGAAAGTTCGCTCAGTGTTTGGGTAATAGAGTCAGCAATTTATAAATAGTAAAAGCGTAGTTTAGAGTCATGGGTTTTCGCTCTATTGTAAATAGCTGCGACTGTAAGCAGGGGAGGTAACCATGTTTCACAGAATTCCAACTAAAAACGCTGACTGGATGAAGAAATGGCTAACTTACTCTGGATATTGATCCAAACACACCTAAGATTATCAAGGGACATTATGTTTGCTCGGTACATTTCAATGAGGACGACTATTTTGAAAAAATGGAATTTGCCACACGGACCATAATGTGCTGAAGGATACGGCCATCCCATCGATAGCACAGACAGGACAAGTGGATCACCTGCGGCTGAGGTAAGTGTTCCGTTATGTTTTTAGATGACCTACTGTAACAGTGCCTTTAGCCAGATCTAATGTAACGTTAGTGACACTATTATATGATTAGGGTATGAATATGTTTTTATCTTGATGCGGTGCGGACGCGCTTGGGAAAAAAAACGAGAGCGTTCACCGCGTTGAACTTGCACCCTGCGCGCGGCGCGCCTAGTAGCCTAAATTCGAAATAACCATGGAAATAACGAACTTGAGCGTGCAAAAGGGTACGATAGGCTGTGAGTTCATTGTGCAAAAACAATTTGTGCTATTACTTTCCCCTTATTCTATCCTATAGTAATGCAATACTGTATATTATATAGGCTACTGTTGAATACATTTGGTTCAGCTAATAAATTGCATTTAAAATATATTGATTCCTGTAATAATAATTATTTATTCATGTGACATTTATAAATCTGGGTGCGTTTTTGGTTGGAAATCAATGAAACATGGTACTGTATTACCTGGTCTCCCCTGTTTATTGTCACAGCTCATACAATAAAGCAAACACCCATGATAAACTATGCTTTTCTATCTAACGTTAGTAATTGCTGACTCTTTATTCCAACACTGAGCGAAGCGAACTCTCTGCTCCTCGTCACGGTGCGTCTCAGGTGATTGTTATCCCTCTGCCCAAGTAGCAGTGATTCCCCTTCAGAAAATATAGTATTTATATGGTCAAAAGATGTCTGTGTCTCATATGGCCTTGATATTTGCACACTCTGTGACTATACAAACCACAACATGTAAATAGGAAAACGTTTGCGTTATTTTGTCACTCATTTGGATTAGTATGAAAGCTGCAACCATTCACATCCAGTCTTTGTGCTAAGCTAGGCTAGCGGTGGGTGCGTCAAACAGACTTATAGCACGCACGGAGATGAAAAAGGTATGTATGGACTTATCTAACTCTGGGGGGTAAGGTGAATAGGCTAAAGTCCCAAAAAGTCGGAGTGTTCCTTTAAGCTATTTTAATACTCCTACTAGTTTGGGCACATTAAAATCCAGTGGACTGTATAGTTTGTTTAAATGCAATTGGTTTTATTACAGATAAATAGATATAACCCACCAGAAAAAGCAGAACATGTGTTCATAACCCCTGTAAGAAATAGTGACCTATTAAGAATAACACCTAAAATATAACATTGTGTTTTTATTAATATAACTAAATAACATAACAAAAAAAAAAAAAAAAAGTAAATGGACTTACCAAACAGAGCTCCTGCACATGACGGTGCAAGGTCATGCACATTCACGGACACCCCACTTCACATGAAAACACACACACACACACACACACACACACACACACACACACACACACACACACACAAGAACAATATACCACTCAGTACATAATCAATGTATATAATCATTGCTGTTGTTATAAGATCAAATTTTGGATATGACAGTTCATTCTAACCTATTATTAAAGGTGGACAGCCCAACAACCAGAGATACGCAAGCAACAGCCTGGACAAAACTGCTCGTCTTACAGAGAAGGATAATGAACACACTGGCTGCTCCCATAGCACAGAACTACACAAGCATGTTTTAAACAGAGACACACAGACACAATAAAATACAATTATATTGCAATATATATTAGACTTTAACAAGCATCTGTTATTACTGAAGCCACTTTTTCAACTGTTCTCAAACTCTTTATACAGTCTGCATTACCAACATGAATCTTGGCCAAGCAGTTAATCTCACCTCCAAAGCTCACTCAGACCAAAACACTTTATGTCTCAAACTAAGCACACTGAATTCTCATTTGTCACTCATAACACACTAACTTAAAAAAACCAACAGAAAGCATTACATAAATGATTAACTCTTATATTCGAAGTCTGAATAATTTTCCACATAAATCAGTGTTTCATTATAGGATTAGAATAACATATTTTCTTTTACTGACTGTATTACAGTATGTAACAAGAATAACTTAGTTAATTCAGGAATAAGCAATTCGTTTTTTTCTATATCTTTACGTATAGTAATTTACTTGTGAAAAATAAAACGCTGGGCAAAAAACCCAATCAACAACATATAATCATGTATGTGCAGTATTTGAGTCCAAATACTTCTGCTTTTTTTGTTCTATAAAGTTTTCAGCGGCAAGCTTTATTTTTGTTTCCAGGACGTTTTTCTAAAAAGTAGGATGACATTCTCTAAAAACATTACATTAGAACATTATCCCCAAACAACACTGTAAAAAAAATGGTAAACTACTGGCAGCTGTGGTTGTCAGCATCATACCGTAAAAATACGGTGTGTAATTGTTTTTGAAATTAAAATCTAAATATGGTTGGTCAGCTAGAGCTCTATGCTGTTAATTTACAGTTATATACTGTAATTTAACAGCATATAGCTGTAGCTGACAAAACGGTATTTAGCTGTTAATTTTTAGAAACGGTAACACACCCTATTTTTACGGTATGATGCTGACTGCCACCACAGCTGCCAGTAGTTTATCATTTTTTTACAGGATTATTTTTTACAATGAACGTTTTTAGCAAGAAGTTTCCAAGCAGGCACTGGACATGCTCCACAAACAGCATTACCAGCTTCACTTATTACTAACCTGTCTACAGAAGTTCTTATGGCCCACTGGGAAACCTCCTGCTGATAATGTTCTAAAAATCTTTGAAAAATGTGTTGCAAATAGTTTTTTTGCAGATGGTGAAATATGAATGACAAATGTGTTCATGGATTTTGGCAAACGTGTTCATTGAATGCATTTTGTGTGAAAGCAATGCAATTGCATTCACAGTTTGGTATAGATAAGACCTCTGTTTCACTGAGTGAGTGTCTGAAGAGGTTTGAAAATGTGACTTCAGTTTTGACCGATGCATGTTATAGCAATAAAAAAAACTGTAATGTGATTGTGCAATATATCAGGGCAAAATAAAGTTCATTGTTGTGTTACCTGCATAGATTTCCTTACAGTTGCTGTGCCACAACCTGATATAAAGACATGAGTAATTTATTAAACCAAGATTTTCATTATGATTACTTATAGAAACATCAGGCTCAACCAGATGTTTTGGTCAACCTTATCTCAGTTGAAAATGCAACTATTTTGTATGAATTTCATATGAACTCATATAGAAAAAAAGAAGGAAAGAATTGATTACTCCATTACTTAACATAACAATCACTGGGGTGCAAGAAGATCATCAAAAAACATAAGATTTAAGAATTAATTTATACGAATTAAGCGTCAATTCACTAAATTGTAGAATAGTCATGAGAGAGTTTTGCTCACCTTGTCTAATGAGATGATCAGAGATGGAGCCTCCAAAGAGTGAAGTGGGCAGCGCCACAAACCAAGGAATCACATTAAACACCCAATCCTGTCAGCAAACAAAACTGATTTAGAAAATGACAACATTAAAAGACCGAAACAGGAAAACCTCAGCAAGAGAGTAAAAATTGTCACTAACATATTAACATCAACAGCAACCATTGGTAATCAAACTGGAAGTGTAAATACAAATAAGAAGGGAAACAAGCAGTAAAACCGACAAATGTGCAATGACTGGGGTACCTTGGCATGAGGAAACATATCTTTGAAATAGGTTGGTAGCCATGACATGAGGGTGTAATAGGTGCTATTAAAGCATAGATGAGAAATGATCATGGCCCTAAAACACACACAAACGCATGCAATTAGCAAATGTTAATATCTAATATCTATCTATATCTAAACCCAAATAAAAATACATGTTCTCTCATTCTCTCATTTGACAATATGAGTGCCCTAATTTTGCACAAGGCACCTCCCTTGTTGACCCAGGAACGCGTCTAACTCGGCAGAATCAGGACGTGCGCCCTAAAACTGGGAAAACCCCAGAAACTCTCCCCATCAGTTTTTATTTAACCTTTTTCAGGAAAATGACACAAAACAAAATGGAAAACCAAACATAACAATGACTTAATGTAGAGAGTAAAAAGAGGGACAAATGTAAATGTTTTTAACCTCACCAGACACTAGGCTCTCTGAAGAGATGCAGCCAGTTGGTTCTAGAAGATTCAGGAATGCAATTGTTGCTGATCCACAACGAGTCAAAGGAAAAAACTGGACCTGTGACGAACACACAAACTGAGACATTTAAAACTGTAAGACGTAACAAACACCATTTCTGATGACAGCGTAAGATGATTATTAAGATATAGCAGGAACCTACTCTAATTTCATGGTGCTCCATGGTGAGTCAGATGTTTAAAAACAGGGTGTTGTGAAATTACACTGGCAAAAAACACCAATACTGATTTGTTCACTGCAACTTCTCTAAGAGACTTAATTATACCAATTCTGACCTTTAAAGCAATAAAATAGCACTCACCAATCAAGAATGCTACTTAATTTAAACATGCAAAGGATCATATAAAGATACCTTGGAGAAGCCATTTCCATACACAAAATGTCCAGCAAAAAGCAAGGAGACCAGCTCCATAAAACACACTCTCCCATCCAAACCAGTCCAGCATCAGGGAACCCACACCTCCAACCAGCATCATCCTGAGAGAGAAACCATGAACAGTATGGAACACTTAAGTAATGTAATTCCAGAAAGGCTTGCATAAAATAGTGCTGATCAATAATCGGATTTATTTTAGACTTAGACGGATTTATAAAAACAAGTTTCTGTGGACAAAAAGTGGAATGACCGGGAATAGCCAGTTATTATTCTCACCCTAGGTAGCACCCACAGGCCAGAGTGCTCATCAGAAAACCTCTCTCTCCCTCTGCCACACGCTGAGCGCAGACACTGACAAGAGAAGGGTAGTGAACCCCTAGAAACAGAGATAGCATAACTCACAATCATTGCTCACAACTCAGTGGAAGTTATGGTCACTCACTTTAATTTTCTTAAAGGGGTTATGGAAGCCCATTTATGCCACATAAGAAAAACAACATGCTTTGATAAATTAAAAATATGACAAAAAATAATAATAATAACAAAAACGTTAAAAATGTGTCATAATTACGGGATAAAATGTAAAAATTATGGCAGAAGTCAAAATTTTGAATTAAAGGGATAGTTCGCCCAAAAATAAAAAATTCTTTCAATAATTACTCACCGTTTCAAGACTTTCGTTCATCTTGAGAATGAATCTTTTTTATGAAATCGGAGAGCTTTTTGTGCCTCTTGTTTTAATCATTATTTATTCAAACCCCATTATTCAAACCCCATTGCAAACCAGATTTATAGGCAACTAACAGACTTTCAGCTGTTTGCAATGACCAAATCAAACAAAAGTAAGTGAAAAAGCTCAACACAACAAATGTTTTAAGTGGTTTCCCCAAATTCAAAAGAAAATGTTGACTGACTTCCACAGTCTCAAAATTATTCAACCCCTTAATGACAAGCATCTTAAGTACTTAGTAGAACACCCTTTCCTGTTATAACCTGCTTCATACAAGATGTAAAACCACACACCAGCCTTTGGTAATGTGTCTAAGGAATCTTAGCTTAATGCTCTATTCTGATTGAGTGTCAGGAGTGGTGTATGTCTTGGAGTTCTCACATACGTTTAGTACGTACCTTACTGTGCAAGCTGAAACCTCAGTGCCTGTTGCCACCATGTCTTGTTGCAGGTCTTTTGCCGTCACTTGAGGGATTTTCTTGCCTGTCTTCTCAGAAATCTGGTTGCAGCAGTTGATAGCTTCCTTTTTCCAGGTAGTGTACCCACTCCAGGAAGTCCTTTAACTTTAAACTTGCGAACTATGCTTCCAGAAGTGTCTCTTATTAGTGCCTTCACTATCTTTTTGTATCCTGTTCCTTGTTTGTGAAGGCAGATGATCTTCTCTTAACTTTTAGGACCATTCTTTTGGCTTGGTCATATTTATAACATGGCACCCAACAAAACTAGCCAGTTCAAATATTTCAAGATGTTCTAGCTCAAGCACACCTGGTGCAAATAATGAAGCCCTGGATTTGTTGCATCTGGTGTGCTTGAGACAACACATGGGTCAGGTTGCATTAATCTCTAAAACTAGTCTTACACGTTATATCTAGTTCACACAACAGGATTTTAAACCCGATTTGCAAGTTATAATCTTGCCGACAGGTCTGGCTGTAATCGCATGCAAATCTGCAGGTGATCTGTGCTCGTGATCTTTTTGTGTGAAATACTAAACAACGCACCAACGCCAACATCTAGCATGCTAAATATCTGGCTAAATAAACTCGATAGCCTTTGGTGTCACGACGAGCAACAGCCAGGTTGAATAATTTTTAGACTGCGGAAGTCATTAAAAATTGCATTTTCAGTATTTTGGAGAAACCACTTAAAACATTTGTTATGTTGAGCTATTTCAATTACTTTTGTTTGATTTGGTCTTTGCAAATGACTGTGAAGTGTGCCAATTAACCTGATTTGCAATGGGGGTTGAATATTTTCTTTAAACACTGTTCATACACTGAACAAAATTATAAGTATTGTTCATGAATCTGTCTAAATCTGTTAGTGAGCACTTCTCCTTTACTGACATAATCCATCCACCTCACAGGGGTGGCATTTCAAGATGCTGAATAGAAAGCATGATTATTGCACAGGTGTCAGAAAATCAGTCAGTATCTGGTGTGACCACCATTTTCCTCACGCAGTGCAACACATCTCCTTTGCATTTGCAATTGGTGACATGTCCAGTGAGTATGCAGGCCATGCAAGAACTGGGATGTTTTCAGGAATTGTGTACAGATCCTTGCAACATGAGGTGATGGTCGTGGATGAATGGCACAACAATGGGCCTCGGGATCTTGTCACGGTATCTCTGTGCCTTCAAAATGCCATCAATAAAATGAACCTGTGTTCTTTGTCCATAACATACGCCTGCCCATACCATAGGCCACTCGATCCACAACGTTGACTTCAGAGTAGCCTTTTATTGTGGCCAGCCTAAGGCACACCTGTGCAATAATCATGCTGTCTAATCAGCATCTTGATATGCCACACCTGTGAGGTGGATGGATTATCTCGGCAAAGGAGAAGTGCTCACTAACACAAGATTTAGACAGATTTGTGAACAATATTTGCACAGATGTAATATATAAGTGAATGTAAATAAATGTTTATTGTGCAAAATGAACTACCGAAATTAGTCAGGGTGAGCTGATACAGATTAAACTAACTCAGACCCACCCTAGTAAATACACCCAATGCCCCCAGCATCCAGTCTCACAGACATACTGGCTGAAATTTCTAGTCCAGACATGTAGACAGATTTGATTCTCTGATTCCCCCTCATTATTTTCACAATTTTCTCCCTGAAGTCCTCGACTGTCTCCCACAGTGCTCTCACCTTGCATTACACCCAATAAAAACCTGGTCAATGTCATGGTAACAAGAGGTCGGAGTCCAATGTTGGTCAGAAGGGGGGTGATAGCTGTCATAACGGCCCAGGAGGAGGTGGACAGCAGCAGTACTCTCTCTCCTCCTATCCTGTAAAAACAATGTTATTCATCATCATCATCATCTATCACTTGTCGTAAACGATCTATGAACTGTGGGCTACACAAAGGCACTCACCTATCACTGACATGGCCACCAAGGACCTGAGTAAAACAGTAACCCCAGAAGAAAGCACCCAGGACCATGCCAGTCTCAGTCTTGCTCCATCCAAATTCTTTTGACATGGTAACAGCACAGATTGGCATGGCCATCCGTGACCAGTAGAGAAAGCATGTGACCAACAGAAGCATCAGGGTCCACGTCCATGCCAGTGTCCTGCAGCAGGTGGGACGTTACAATTACAACAGTCTATCTCAATCAGGTGTCTCACTCTGAAAACACACAACTAAGACAAAAAGACTGAAGACTTATCTGCATTACTTGCATGGCTTTTGGATGTTTGATTTTTTTTTTTTTTTTTGCACTGTTTATTAGTCCCTGGCCTTTGTCCCTCTTTTTATTCTTTTACTCATCTACTTTATTTATAGGCCTGGGCGTACAGCACTTTGGCATAGCTGTTTTTAAATGTGTTTGACCTGCTTGATCTAATTAACAAAAACAAATGCTGATTCATTTGGTTCTAAACATCTTTTTTATTTTGTAAAATCTGTTAAATACTTTAGGAAGTGGAAGAAATCCAGCTCATTCAGGACCTCACTCCTGCTAACAACTGGGAGGGTGTTAGTTGTTTTCTATCAAGTATCAACTCAGCATCAACAACCATACCAACTCCTTTTACTTTCAACTGCTTTTATTTACAGTAAATTTCTTAATGTGGAAATATTTGGAGCATTAAAAGATTCAAAAACTGAGATATAAACTGATCAAATTTCAGACATTTTACGAACAGGAATGGATAATGTTAGCATAAACCACGTTGTTTAAATACTTTCCGATAAAGACATGTAAAGCTTATTTGGATTTTCTTTTATAATCTTTAAAATGCAATACAAAGGATAGGACTCAATTTGGAGACATCCACCAAAAACTTTATCAGGGGACCGCAGTGACAAAGTAAAGCATTTCTATAATGCAACCGTTGCCAGGAAGCGAAACTACCAGGAAGGAGGAGGAAAAAAGGCGATGTAAATTTCAGCGCATCATACGAGAATGCCGCTCTCGTGTTTTATTTACAATACAAAATATTGCCGATAAACCATTAACGCACAATACGATTGTTGTTTAGAAAATAGTTTTTAATCTCCGTTAATAAGCAAGTTTTATCATACCTTGGCCATACTGTCGTTGTTGTCTTGTCGTTAATTTGCATTATATTTAACTCGGGCGTAGTGTAGCACACATTTCTGCAAGGCGTTTTCACAAAGTCCACAGGTGGTTTGAAACGGTCCGCTTCTCGCTCATTATCCATTCAGTCCAATAGAGTAAGAACCGGACACTGAGCACCGGTTCTTTATTGAACAGTAAAGTTTACAATTGCATATTCAGATAGAAACGCATAGAGGCGGAGACGATCGCGCCACACCTACATGTGTTAAAGAGAAACTGAATTAGGCTACGATGCATCATAAAGACTAGGAATGTGGTTATTCTTGTACAATTGATGACGCAAGAAGACAATAAGAAGAAACCATCTACTCAAGCGTCATCATTCTGTACTAAAAAGACCGAAGTGGAATTTTGAGGTTCGACCTAATAAATGTGAATAATAATAGCTACAACTCAAGTAAATATATCTACTGTTAAATCAACTTTTTCCCAAACAAGCAGTACAAAATATGAACAAAAATAACATAAGGCAAATGTTTTAGGTTAGTAATGACATCATTTGTTGTTTTGCAATTAAAATAGCTTATATCATGGAAGTCTATTTACTTACTCAACTTTACAACCATCTGTAGCTCATGAATTAAATAATAAATGAAGTTATTGGATTCATGATAAAAAAATAGTTTCCAGTGCAATAAATCTGATGATGCTTTCTTCCCAACCAGGAGCTGATATTTTCCTCAAAAACAGCTTAAAAACAAGAATGAGGACACAGTATATTGTATGTGAAAAGAGTGAAGAACATGGGGAGGGGGAAATAATAAAAGACACAAAACACAAACTGAAAATGCTGAAACCAAACAACATTACCATAGGAATATTCCTGTTCTTCAGAAAATAGGCTACCAGTATAGTAAATGGTAGATTGAAATAACATCTAGTTTTACTGTTATTAATCAGTATACTTTTGTTTGAAATAAAATCATATAAGGTTGCTTAAATGACTTTTTTATAGAGGCATCAAGAAAAAAAATCATTATATATAGAGAGAGATTTATATTTGCCATCCAGTCACTGACCATTCATAAATAGAACCAAAAAAAAGTCCATGTGAATTACAGTCTCTACTTAGGGTCCTCAATGGTTCCCTTGCTAAGGTCTGTCATTCTGGAGTATTTCACTTTTTTCTGGTCCAGTTCGTTTTGGGCCCACAGTAAAAGTTTCAGCAGCTTTGCTAATTTTGGAGTAGATTCCCTGTTCTCATAGTCTAGAACAGCCTGGTTTACCTCGCTCCACACCTATAGAGAGAGACAGAACCCAGCATTAAGGAAGGAGGTGCAAGAGCAGAATTTACACTAGATACGCATACTGTACATAAAAAGGAGAATCGACTTTCATTAAAACAAGGAGTACTAAACCATTGTGATGGTTACGTCCTACACAAATAAAACACATACCTTCTGCCTCTGCATCATGTTGAGCAGGTCTCCAAATGGCGATTCTTCGGGGTTATCAAAGGCGAGCAGGGCCAGTGTCCGCTCCATCTCAGTAAGACATTCTCTACTCTCCTCTCCCTGTTCGGCCAGCTGCGACTGCGCAAACTCCAGCGCTGCCTCAGTCTCCCGCAAACGGATGAGCTCAATCAGATGCTGCTGCTACAAAAGTTTCAAAAAAAATAAATATACATTTTACAGTAAAGGTTGAGTTAGGATTTTTCTTTTCAGTACTTTTTTGTCTTATTATACAAGAGGCCTTCATGAAGATATTTGCTTGTGCACTGTGAAAAAAACAACATCCATGGATTTTTGCCATGGAAAGACATCTCCCTCCCATCATCTCCATATGAGGTCAGATGTTTACCTGAAGGTGAAAGTAGAGGTATCGATTGGTGTCAAGCAGCTCTGGGTGGAGGCTGTTAATGAGAGCAATGGCTTCCTGGATCTGACCTTTCAGAACCATTTCCCTGATCTTTATTCTCTCATCAAGAGAGTCCAGATCCACGTTCGGTTCAATCCCGGATTCCATACGGAACTTCTCTGCAGCTTCTTTAAATCCCTCTGTGGAATAGGAACATGATCATAGGGGCAGTTTATGCATTTTTTTTTTTTTCAAAATATAAAAAATATAGTAAACAAAATCATGATGTAAAGTCATGTAATGTGAAAAAGCCACAGATTAGCACAAATACATTTATTTTAATTTACACATATCAAGTATTGTTCAAGTATTGAATCAAGTATTGTACAATACTATAAAAAATACTGACATACCTGTTACTAGATAGTTCATGATAAGCCTGTTCATATCCGCCCTCTGAATGTGCACATTATTAAGCTTATCCAACCATTCCTCTTTTGTAATATCCTCAGGCTTTTCCGAATAACTCATCATGGATATGCTGAGGTAGACATGACATGCAAAAACAACACAAATCATTTGGCACACATCCAATATAAAAATGCAGGTTTACTCACATTTAAAAGTAATAGGCAGAGAAAAGGTTTGATTAATTTAGTGCACGCTGGGTCTGGCTGTCCATGTTATCAAAAACAAAAAAAGGAAACCTACTTTTAATTAATCTAAGATTACAATGTTTGAGTTTGACGCTAAATGAATGAACTGCACTGTGCACGTTCATATTTTCGCGGTGTTTCTGCTCCTAGACAGCACAACAGAGAAGCAAGCGGCTCACTGGCCAGCAAACCGCGTAAAGAGATGTTGCAATGGTGACATTTATGCACCTGGCTGACAGGTTATACATTTATTTATTTTTTAAACTCGCCAATAAGGTATGAAATTCGCATTAAATATGTTTCGCTTTTATCTGGGTATTAGAATTAACAAGCCCCGAGAGCATGAAACATAACAGCGCGTGAGACTTGCAAACAGGATTGTTCAGCCATTTTCTGACTATAACATTTGCCAGAGACCACACGAGAAAATAAAATATTACTAAATTGTAATCATTTTAACTGTTGTTCATTGGTGTTATTTGTTTTTCGCAAAATATGAAAAATGGTGATAAATACTTACTGTTTACGATTATAAATAGCGGTGGGCCTCAGCGAAGATCACGCGATAATAGAGAGGAGCTCTTAACGAGACTTGAGGGGAGGTCAGTGATTGGTCAGAAAACCGACGTCACGGTTGCTGTGGCAAAGCTAGTAAGGTTGCCAGATCAGTTATTTGAAGTTTGTCAATAAAAAAATAAATAAAAAAGTTGCCAGATCAGGTAAAAAAAAAAAACAACAACGTTGAATATTAATGTCTGAAACATTTTTTTTTAATTAATTTGAATTCGTATGAAAGCTAAGAAAAAAAATAAAATAAGAGCTAGGCTATTTGAACTAGACTATTTAATAGAAATTTCAGAGTGAGTTTACACGTTTAAAAATGTCTTAAACATTAAACATTGTCTTAAACACATGACTGACTAACTAAAATGCTTTTCTGAAATTCGGAATGAACTGAAAATTCACCTTAGGCCTATCTATTGAAAGGTGAAATGCATGTTATAGATCTTTTTGTGGGTAATTAATGGGTGAATATGTTTTTTTTAATTGATCTTTTCATGTTTAATCAAGATGTCATTGGACCATTGCAACAATGATTTAATATATTTGTAATGACTGTAACTTCTCCAGCAAATTTAGTGTTTTGTACATAAAGAGAAACAATGACAACAATCTTTGATGGTTTCCTTTTCTTTAACCTTCCAAAAAAACAAGCTTGATTTTTCCCAATCCTCTTAGCCTATCTAACACAATTCTGTTATTGCAAAACAAAAAATATAGGCTACAGGGCCAGAAAGATAATCGATTATGTCTCAGAGATTATGGGACAATCACCTTTATTATCAGGTCCAAATAAATCCCCCTATGAAGGGGGGGGGGGGGGGTCTATTGTTTATTTCCCTCCTCATAACATTAAACTTACAACAGCTGGTATTAATTTCTGCCATATGACCAGATGGAATGAGCCAATGAAAATGTTTTTTTTTATTTATTGTGCTTTCAGGTTGAACCACCATATGTTATTTTTCAGACAAAACAGGTGATGCAATACAATTTTGTTTAAAATTTTATGGTGAATGATTTTATCTAGCTATTGAGTTACTTAATCATTAAATATTTTTAAATTGTTAATCAAAGACTGGCATTCTGTAAACATTAAAAGTGATTTTGAGGAATGGCAAGGAATGGCATTTATAAGTCTACTGGTCTAAGACATACTAAATGTCCTTTCAAATCCTGTATTTCATAAAAATACAAAGCTTTACCAATGGTCTCTTAAAGGTCCCACAAAGAACTTAATTTCAAGAACCATTTTAAGGTTATTGAGATAATATAAAATTGATTATAGATTCTTCACAAATGTGTGCTTTCATTGGTTCTTTTTATGTGTTTTGGTTTTCTGGGGTTTTTAAAGAACAGTTTTTTTAAAGAACTATGCAAACTGTATTTTGTTGAACTTAAAATGTTTTGGTATATAAGCTATAAGGCTCTAAAACAATTTTTGGTTATTTGTAACCTTTATTTGTATGCTATCATTGGCATATTATAATACATAAATAAAAACATCCATGTCTTTAATATTATAGGCTAAATTACCAATTTGCCTGTTTATTTAATTTGCCCTGTTTCAAAATCAGTAAATAGGACTACTTTTAAAACATAAAACTCTTTTTATTAGCCATGAGCCTATATTTTCAAAAATCAAGACCAAAACGTCCATAATTATTTTGAGGACTTACAAAAGCATAATTCCACAACAAGGCTACTTAAACACAGGTGACAGAAATTTTAACAACAACAAACAGTTTCAAATTCCGCCTCCTCTTGATAATAACAAAAGATTTATAAACCATTTATAAAGTCCCTTTTTACATTTTATTAAGCCTAAAGTGTTCATGTTACAATAAGCAAGAAGCGTGAATGTGAGCAATCAAATAAAATTAAATTATTGTATATCATATGCTATTACTCATAATTCCATAAACCTAGAACAAAAATAAAAAAGTAAATAAAAAATTAATTAATGAAAAAAAAACAGGCTGGCATAAAGGCTAATGCGACAGTAGGCCTATATGTGGCGTCATCATTATATTCTGCGTCACGTTCAGCTGCTCAACTATCCTCCGCATCTCCTTCAAAGCTCGAGCTTGCATCAGGATGTGGTTCTTGGCCAGAAGAAGTGTCGCTATCTTGGATAGTTTTTTCACATTTCGATTCGGCGTGTATGGTATGACAGCTCGCAGGTCATCCAGCGCATCGTTGAGATCGTGCATGCGTTTCCGTTCACGAGAATTGACGAGTAGCCGCAGCGCTCTTTGCTTATTGTTTGTCCCGCTTCTCGACTCCGAGTTTCCGCAAAATCCATTTTCCAGACACTGTAAACTTTTTCTTTCCGTCTCCGATGACGCTGTCTCTTCGATTACGCGATGGCCCGTGGTCAATTCCTCGGAGGGATGCGTGGGAACTCCTTCACCGAGGCTCTGGCAGCAGGGCGTGCAGCTCATGGAAGAGTAGACACAGACAGACAGTTCACAGTCTTGTTCACCAACTGCCATTGGATAGATTCTCCTGATGTTCATTCTGTTAGCAAATGAATATTATTCGTCCACGTCCAACGGCCTTTGTCGTAGAGTTTGTCGCAGTAGGCTAACGCCTATTTGACCTGTCGAAACTTTTGAAGGATTAACAGTCTGTCCAATCAAATCGGCCCGTCCCGCCACACAGACAAACAAACAGGTGCTGTTTTGATCAAATAGGGCGCTTATAGCTTCAAAACACCCACGATAACAATCACAATATTACTTGATATGGCATTTTACCTTTATCAAAAAATGGACTGCTGTATAGGCTAAAATCAGTGGGGGATTAAGATCATTTGGACACCTAGAGTAAAATGTTTACGTGGTGCCCATTGCCTATATGGTTAATCCATATGGCAATTGGAATATTTTGTGGGGAAATGTCAAATGGCAAGAAAATAGCCTATACACCAAAAAACAAAATAATGATAATAACAATTTAAAAGTACCATATGACTTAGGCCAAACAACTACTCTGAAGTCGAAAGTGCAGACATTTCCAAAAATTGTCCTTCTAAAAGAACAATCAAACATTGTTTTTGATAATGACAATAAGGTAATGATTTAGGCTATTTTAGGAAAACTGCCCCCCCCCCCCCCCTAAATTGGCAATATTCTTCCTGCACCCGATAAACACCCCAAACGAGTCTGATTAATTAGTCATCATTTACTGCGAATGAGCATGATTAGAAATTAGAAGGAATCATGTGTATGTGAATGGGGTTGATGGAAGGCAATCAAGTGTTTTGTGATAAGGGGAAACACATCTGTTTAATAAGTGAGAGTTGATGGCCTTATTTGTTTATTCTAATTATTTAAATGGTAACATGATTCCAATAACCATAAACATGTAAAATGAACTGAACTGAATGGAATTATATTAGTTTTTCTGAATTGTTGAAACACATTTCTCAAAACCATCACCCACTTTCTCAAAACTATCACATGACCTCATATATAAAAATTCTCATCCTGTCAATTCATAACATAATAAAATCATCATGTCAAACATAATAAAACTATAGGCATGCAGGACTGAGAACACAATAGAGGAGATTCACCAATGAAATGGTGATGACCTTTTACCTGAAAGTGCTTTTATTTTGCCTCATTCAAATGAAATAACAGGGGAAATGGCAGAAATAATAATATTTTAAGGCTACCCCCCCCCCCCCAAATAACAGACTCAATTGAATTAAATTAAATAGGCTATTAAATGTATATAATGCATGTCATTCGAAATGTAAAATGCTAAAATGCAACCATGTCAAAATCACAAATAAATAATTAAACCCGAATATAATTTAAGTTTCTTATCTGGAACACATCTTTCCTCACATGGATCCGTCCCACTGCTGTGATCAGATCCACCCTGCGAAACCACAGATGCCGTAAGAGAGTCACACTTTATCACTCATCCGCATTCACACGCTGGACGGTTGGCTGTGGGGAGACGGGGGTCCCTGAGTAGGAAGTGGGGTGAAAGTAAAAATCCGTTGCTGGGCGACTGAATCATAGTTGCTATGGTGAACTTGAGTTGAGCAGCTGGTCCAATCAGCTGAGACATGTAGGGCAGAGTGGATCTCATACTGAAGAGAGTGATGTAGAAACACGTGGGAGGAAGAGAGGAAGAGAGAAGGAGAGTTGAAGTTAAAGAGGGTGTAGAAAAGGAAGGTTGACAGTAAGAGAGGAATAGAGGGAAGTTGCAGAAAATTATTGAACTGGATGAAAATAAGACAGAAAAGCAGGAAAAGCATGGGTGAGGAAGAAAAATGTAAAAAAGAAAGGAACTGTTTCTTTCCCTCCAGTAGTTGATGCTTTTATATTCATGTCTATACACTACATTTATTTTATGCACATTTATTTTCATTGTTGCTTCATATATTTGCCCCTCCCCCAATTTAGACAATTAATATGGTTCAGATTACACAATATTTTGAGTTTATCTTCATTGTAGCCTATAAACTTACATTTTTGTAATGTCAATGAACTCAAAATTGTATGGGAACCAGGTAACTTACTTTTTAAGGTAAACCAACAATATAGGCCTATATGTTTTACAGTCTGCCTCTAATTGTTTGTAGGCCTAAATTTCCTGTTAAGTCAATAATAGTATGTTTTTGTCGCCAAAATCGACTTATTTAATTAAAGGGATAGTTCACTTTGAAATTCATTTTTGATATGTTTTAGCTTACCTCAAGGGCATCCAAGATGTAGGTGTCTTTGTTTCCACAGTATTTTCAATTTTGACATTTTTTGGTCAAACCGTTGTTGTCTATCAGTCATATAATGCAGTTTTAGGGGTCCACCTCAAAGAG